GCTTTGTGCAGTGGTCCTGCCTTGTTGTCATTGCCACTGCTGGCTTCTGTGTAAATGTACCAGTCACCTTCTGCGGCCTCATCTGGTCCGGTGTCGTCGCTCGAAGTACTTCCTGAAAGTCGCAGCCATGCTTGCGCACTGGTGGACCAACCGCAGAAGTCGACCTCAGAGATGCTCTCAAAGCACAAAGCGCCATCGAAGGGTAGCTGTTGGGGAGCCTCCCGGACCCGGGCCTCGAAGCCGCAGCTGACGGCGGCGTCCCATGAAGCCTGCAGTGCTCGGGGGCGAGGCTCCTTTGCGTTCACGCTTGGGTCCAGGTCCATGTGGTCATGAGAGGTGGCGAGCAACGTGCTCCTGCGAAGTTTTGCTGGACCTCGCAGCACAAAGAATCTGCGTGGACCCGTCCTGTCAGTCTGCCACAGCAGGGAGAATGCGACTTGGAGGGGCAGAGAGCGTGGCTTTCGTCTCTCTCTTGCCTCGTCCTTCTGCACTCCAGTGAGAAAGGCCTGTACCTGCGCGAACCTGCCAAGCAAAAGCAGCAGACCCCCAGATGCACAAGCCCTGCGATTGCAGCTTCGAGGAGTGCCTGCCAGGTGCAATCTTCACGACGCAGCTCTGCAAGGTCGGAAACTCTGTCGTGACGATGCAATCGGCTCCAATTCTACACGGCCTCGGTCGAAGCCGGAGCTCCAAAAGAGGGAGCACCAGAGCTCGCACCAAGTGACGGTTTAGGGTTTAGGGTTTAGGACTCACAAGTAATGCCGTGGGCTCGAATGTGCTGGAAAAAGCTTGCTTGAAAGCTATCGCTTGAAACCCTCGTTAAACCCTTGTATAAGCCCTTACAAACCCCCGTAATTCTTAACCACAATCAAAGCCTGCAAATGTACGCTTACAAATCAAAAGTAGCACTGCTTAGTTTCAAATGCTGCTGGAAAGCAGAAAGACATGCTTAGAGGCGCGTTCCTTCATATCGGCTTGAGGGAAGCACCAAACGACTGTTGCGTTACAAACTGGGAAGAGCGGGACGAGATGTATTGCCAATGGCGCAACGGCGCGGAGTAGCATTGCCATTGGCTCGGGGACATTGCTCCGAAGTGGGACTGCGGTTCGTTGCAGCATTGGAGTTTCTTGGCTCGCCGGCCGCCTTGGCTTTCGCTCGCCGGGCCTCCGAAGGCCTCAAAACTCCGAGCGTCTCGACGACGGTTTCAGAAGCGGGATACGATACCCAAGAAGACCCCCGGTTCAGGCTTAGACATGGGAAATAGGCAGTGGAGGACTTGTGCGGCAGCTTGCAAATGCCGAAGCATTGACGAGGTTGCGCCAAAAGATCTTGCCAGGATGACTTGAGTGACTGGAGGGTTTCAGTGTGCATCTCGACACTGTAGTCTAGAAGGGGTTGGGCGATAGAGCGTTCGGCTACATGCGTTTGACAAAGTTTATTCTGCATGGTGGACCTTCAAGTAGCTGCTCTTGCTTGCGACGCCTGGTGAACCACACCGTTGAAAGCGCAGGAGCATCCGGGCTGCGGGCCCACTGACCATCCTCCAAGCAGACGAGCCTTCACAGCACTGCATCGTTTCTTCTGCTCTCTGCGAGGATAAAGCTGCGTGAAGTGGTGAGAGTCTCGTCTCCGTGTTCTTCTACCTGCCTTGAGCCACAGCGGCTGACATCTCGCCCTCCGACCTCACCACCAGAGCCTCCTCACGAAGCAAAGCAAGATTCTGCCAAGAGCAGGCTGGGCTGCATCTTACAACCCGAACCTCCGCCGACAGCTCCTTTTCCGGAGAGTCCTGAAGGAAGCAAAGATTTGTCGGTCGGTCTCTTCGAAATTTGCCCTCGCCCCCCCTGAATGGCACTCTGGCCTCGGCTTCCGCGAAGCACAGCTTCCAGCGCGCTGGAGCCTTCCGGGGTTTGGCATACGTGACTTTAGGCAAGGCACGATTCCGTGCTCAATCTGCGAATCGTTCCTGCCTCCGGGATGTCGCTGGTCGTGAAGGGTATGATCTCGATGGCAATGGGCCTTCAGCATATTTCAGCATGCTAGCCCGGAGTTTGTAAACTTGATGAGAAGGATCCTCCCATGTGGGGTTTTATCTTGGGGTCCCCAAGTGTCTCAAACTCTCATTTAGGAAATGACAGTAAGCCTAGCAAAGGAAGATGAACAGACTGCAACAAACCATCATCGTCAGCATGCTGAGTATCCCCGTCGTCGCCATAGCGATCATCAGTATCATCTTCTTCTTGCGATTTCTAAATTCACAAAACCACGAAAGCAAAATCGAAACCTGCTTTATCTGTCAAACCTCTCTGTTTTTCGGTGAGGTGACATCGACCCATGTTGACATAGATGCACGCACTCACTTCAGACATGTATTCAACTGAACCCTGATGCAATCTCGGGCCGACCTTCGTTTTATGGATGTGTGCGTTCTCTACCGTCGGAGCGCAAAGTAACGATCTATGCACCCGTGTTCCTGAGGGGTGCGAACACATCAAGTCACACATGTCATCTCTCGTGTAGAGCATGCCAATGTTGGCGCAGGCCGGCCAGCGGTCATAACCTGAGATTGTTCTAAAGTGAAGTTGGAAAAACTTCTCGACATGTTTGTGTTCAGCTGCTTCAAAAAACCAGCTGGTTTGTAAAAAAAGCAACAAGGCGTCAATAGCAAGAGATGTGTTCACACATTTGCAATCTCACGAAACCACACAAGCAAACTCAAGATGTGCTTTTCTTTCAATCCGATATGTTTGCTGTGAAGCGTGTGCCATCGACTCATGTTGACAGAGATGCTTTTGGTCACTTCAGACACGTATGCAACTAAACCTTTGTACAGGTATGCACATTCTCTTTCATGGGGTTAAACAGTAATCGTCGACATCCGCATATCTGCACTCAAAGGACCGCACCCCAAGCGTGTGTTTTCACGCTGCATCAGCATGACATAAATCGAGAGGTCACCTGTATTTCCCCCAGCATAGTGCAATGCTTCATACTTCAACCGACACTTCCAGCAAGATACCTCTCAATCGAGCACTGCCTGATCTGCACCCTGCCTTTCAGCCCTGACGACTACGGACATCAGTCTTCTTCAAAGCACTCATCGGGTCGATGATTCAGTGCGTGCTACGTACCCTACGAGCATGGCCACAGTAGACGTGCCGAACGGCATGCAAAACCTGCCAGTTGCCCGACGAGACCACCTCGAGAACAAGGTTTGCCCTCGCAAGCCGCAGCACCGCAACTCACTTACCTTCGGAGCGACCGACGAGACCACCCCAGTCCCTACAGGACTCAAGACTCAGCAAGAACAAGTCGCACATGTCATCTCTCGTGTAGAGCATGCCAATGTTGCAGCAAGCAAGCGGTCATACCCTGAGATTGTTCTAAATGAGGCTGGAAAAACTTCTCGACATGTTTGTGCTCAGCTGTTTCTGCCAAACTAGCTGTTTGCGAAAACAAATTACTGTCACAATCGCAAGTGATGTCTTGGATTTTTCTTCGCCATCATCACCATTATCATCATCATCATCTTAGTAAGAGGGTTTCCCAGCAGTTACAACTCATCTAAACAAGCCTGCAGCTGCAAGTCAAGCCTAGGCATCCCTGATAATATCCGCCTGCTGCCATGTCCGATTTCGATCGTGCAATGCTCTTGGTCGTTCGGGAGGTCCGTGCTGACGATGCAGCCATCTTCCTGAACGGTACAAGACCTAAGCTGGCATGGCTTCCACTCGCACAGGTTGGCTAAAGTGCCCGATCACACAGCTTAACCACTCCATACAGGACACCTCAGGCACGGACCCCACGCCTACCTGCAATGCCAGCGAATCCAATTTGCCTGCAGCCCACATGGAAGGTAACAGCATGCGCAGCCCAATGCACGTTACCACCGATTTCCTTTGCGTCAGCCTCTCAGTTCACGAACCGAGGCGACTCGACCCAAACCAGGCTTTGCATGTGCACGCACGCTCCGAGGGTAGCTGTGGTGCGACAAGCATGCAGTCCTCTAAGCAAAGAAATTCCTGGAATCAGTCCGAGAGTACTTGATGCTAGTCAAGCCCACCAGTCCCACTGTCCCACTACTGAGCTGAACGTGAGAAATTCTAGGCTGATAATGTGCTTTTGGAAGATCATGCCCGGCGGGGCTTCCGAACTTGCGCCCGCAGGCCTGCCTCGCGCGAAGCAGGCCAGGGAAATGCTCAGCAGACTCCAAAGCGACGCCATGTTCCTGCCACATCGAAAACCCAACACCCTAGCACGAAGCGGCGTGCACCGTCAAGCCAGGGAGACCCTCGAATCCACGCATGTCCCGGCCGCAATCTGCAACTTCGGGAGCCCATCTTTGCTATCGATATGAAATGGCATTACGAAAGTTCAGACCACGATTCTTTCAGCACTTCTCCTCCCCCCCAACACCTCGGAAGGGGACCTCGGACCTCGGGTTTGAAAGTCCGGGCTTCAAGATATTTTGGGTCCTTCTTGATTTGTGTGATTTTGATGCTCCATCTTCAGCAAGGCGGAGCTTTCCAAACCGCAAAAGCCTCCAATGTCGATGCCTTCTGTCTATGTTATTGATTATTGATGCATGAACCCCTCCAAGCCTGCAAACAAAGTTTTCCGGTCTAGCATTAAAGGTTTAGGATGCGACTTCAATGCACTGAGGCGCAATCCCAGCATCTACCCATTCTGGAAAGAGAACTGAAGCTGCAGAGGCTCTCAACTCTCAACCTGTCAGTAGTGTCATCTATGTTGACCCACGCTCTGGCAGCAAACATTTTTTTTTCGGAATTGTTTTTGGCGAACTGTTCCTAGCAAGAAACAAATGGGAAACTGTAAAGAGATCTGGCTGAAAAGATTAAGCACACTCCCTCCGCCGTACAGATGTTGCTTTTCAGCTTGCATGGCCCGCTAGGCTGA